GAACTCTTTCTTGCTGACTCCGAACTCCCGTGCTTTGATGCTACCGCGAGCCTCGAACAATATTCTCCTCGCTTCGGTCTTTCTCTATGCGAACTGTATGTTGAATAAGAGCGAACTCCGTACTGGTAAAGATCGAACTCTTTTAGTAGACTGAATCGAACTCCCGACTGGTTAAGTGTGATTCTTATAATAAAATATCTTTAATTCCAAGAGGATTATTATGTAATAATGACGTGGACAGATCCAAGTGGATCCTACCGAAAATGTGTGGGATCCGACCCCAACAGGGTCATCATTTTGGGAGTCCAAGTTCTGCTTGTTTTCCTTATGGCAGTCCAATGTCTGGCGGTTTTCCCTACGGTAGTCCGTATTCTGGTGGTAATTCGTGGGATACTCCACCAAGTGCTCCACAGTGGGGCACACCACCAAATGGACCACAATGGAGTTCATCACCAAGTGTTCAGCAATGGGGCAAACCACCAAATGCTCAGAAATGGGGTTCATCATCAAATGGTCCAAACTGGAATTCACCATCAAATGCTCCGCAATGAGGTTCATCATCAAGTGTTCAACAATTGGGCACACCACCAAATGCTTAGAAATGGGGTTCATCATCAAATGGTCCAAACTGGAATTCACCATCAAATGCTCCGCAATGGGGTTCATCATCAACTGCTCCACAATGGAGTTCACCATCAAATGCTCCGCATTGGGGGTCATCACCAAATGATAGACAATGGCGTAATTCACCAAATGATCCACAATGGCGTAATTCACCAAATGCTTCAGAACCTGCGCCAAACTGGGGAACACCTCCAAATGGGCCACAATGGGGTTCATCATCAAATGTTCCACAATGGAGTTCACCATCAAATGTTCCACAATGGAGCTCACCACCTGTTGCTCCACAGTGGAGTACATTATCAACTGATCAACAATGGGGCTCATCATCGAATGTTTCACATTGGGGCTCTTCACCAAATTCTTCACAATGGGCTCCTCCAGCAAACGTTCAACGTGGATTTTCACTAGGAGCTCAAGATGAAACCATACCAAATATTCAAGACAAAGATTCTGAAGAAAACACCAGTTCATAATTCTGCAACAGAGCAAATACGACGAACACGAAGAGCAGGAGGATTATTCAATATTTGGGGAAGGAAACGAGGACCTAATTTAAATGAAACTCATCAAAATGATTCGGGAGATGAAGAGTAGTGTAGTAGGCATGTGTTTTGTTATTAGTCATTGATTTCGTGTTGTGGTGTTTTTTTTAATGTCTTCTACGTATTTTGTATTATTGATTAATGTTATTTAGCTTTTCTCTGATCTAAATTACTTTATTTTTTGTTCACAAAATTATAGGTTTTTCGTATATGCCAGTTGCGATCACGAGGAGTCCAATTTCTAAGTTACGAGGAAAGAATTGAGTTGTGGAATTTGGAAAACGAGCAATTTGAAGAGTTAATAATTCAACCAGCATTGAGTTATTACAATCAATATTTTCAAAGAGGACCAATCCAAACAGATGGCGGTTTGGGATGGCATAATATTTGGCGTCGTCTACAAGAAGATGATGCTGCTTGTCTACAGTTATTAAGAATGTCTCTTAGTTGTTTCAGAACATTATGTGAAACACTACAAAGAAATTATGGTTTACAACCAACATCGAATGTAAGCATTGAAGAGAGTGTGGCAATGTTTCTACGGATATGTGGCCACAATGAAGTTCAAAGAGATGTTGGATTGCGATTTGGACAAAATCAAGAGACAGTGAAGAAGAAATTTTTTGAGGTCCTTACAGCGACTGAGTTACTTGCTTGTGATTATATCAAGACTCCAGCAAGACAAGAACTACGCCGAATTCCTGAAAGATTGCAACTAGATCGAAGATATTGGCCATATTTTAGTGGATTTGTTGGAGCAATGGATGGAGTTCATGTCTGTGTTAAGGTGAAACCTGAATTACAAGGAATGTATTGGGATCGACATGGTAGAACATCATTAAACATCATGGCAATATGTGATTTGAATATGTTGTTCACATATGTTTGGAATGGAGCACCAGGATCTTGTCATGATACAGCAGTTCTCACAATCGCACAAGACAGTGATTCTGAATTTCCTTTGCCTCCAACAGAAAAATATTATGTAGTTGATTCTGGCTATCCAAACAAACAAGGTTTTTTGCTCCATATAGATCTTCACGAAACAGGGTTATTCGGTATCATATGGCACAATTTGAAAATGGTCCTCCTCCTAGGAATAAGCAGGAACTGTTTAATCGATGTCATGCATCTTTACGTTCTGTTATTGAGAGGACATTTGGAGTTTGGAAGAAAAAATGGAGAATTCTTTGTGAATTTCCTAGATATAATACTTCTGTGCAAAAGAGAGTGGTAATGGCTACAATGGGACTACATAATTTTATCAGAATTTCAAATTTTTCAGATGACGATTTTGCAGAAGTAATGAGAGAGACAGAGATTACAGACAGAAATTCTGAGATTGATCTAGGGGATATGGAAGCTCAAGAAATAGTTGATGGCGATCTTATGGCAAATATCAGGGAAAATATTGCAGATATGTTATGGGAAAATCAAAATACTAGATACTAATCTTTTTTGCTGTTTTATTTGAATTATTTTTTTTTAAAAGATTTTTATAGTTATCACAATAAATATGTTTACTATATTTATAAATAAAATCATAACTAAATATTATATAATATGATCCGCAATATTTGATCCGCTTTTACCATTCAAACATCTATTTTAAATCGTCAGATCCGTTCGATCCGCACTTGTACCGCCAGATCTGCTTGATCCGCTTTTGTTCTGCTTGATACGCTTGATCCGCTTGATCCGCTCCGCTTGATACGCTTTCTCCATTCGGAGCCAAAATAAGATAAATAGAGATTTGAAAATTTCTCGCCGACGAGCGAAAGGAATAAAGAGAAAATAAAAAAATGGGTAATATGAGCCAAAAATTGACTATACCACGTAACTATAAAATTTCATCTTTGCTTATTGTCGTAGTTTATTTCCATCTTGCCTACATTGAAATTATAAGATGTAATACACTCTTTCCGATGGAAGTAGATAAGTTATTAAAATTCAATAATACAATCTATGAATATTTATGACTTCACAACTTATAATAAGCAAAAAATTATATAATTTTATAAATAGGCTAATATTTATATTAGTTGATTTAATAATTAATATAACATAACTACAAATAATGTTTTATAGTGTGCAATATAAATCTATATTTAAAAATAATTAAAATGCAGCATTATCTAAAAAAAATATGTTTATATAATTTTAGTTATGCTTACAAAAATAAAATTTAAAGTTAAGAATGATAATTTCGACCGCGCACGGATCCATATCTAGTTCCCGGCGAAAACCAACAATAACTTAAACGGTATCATATCGGGCTTTTTGTGGACAGGCTCATATCAAGTTCGGACTGGACTAAATTTTCTTAACCCATTGCAACATCCTTATGATAAATGTAGAGTTTATTAACGTCAGTGCCATGAACAGTGACAAAACTTATACAAACTGCCATGTTCCATATAATCTTTTCTCCTATGCCATAAGGTCCACGTAAAAAGACTATAATACCCTGGCCGAAGATTGCTCATATTTATCCTTTAAAGTCAAACGATATGTCTTTATACACTAACACGTCATGTCAATATAACAGTTCTATTTTTCAAATTTTATTTTTTTAATTAAAAACAAACGAAATTTGTAGCTTTTAATTTTTTGGAAACTGGTACGCAACTTTTTCATCTTCTTCTTCATTTTTCCCAGTCTTCTAATTAGGATTCTTATTTTAAAAACAACAACTACATCTGACATCAAGCGTTTTTCTGGTTCTTATATGGTTTATGTCCTTCAAAATCTTTTATGTCCTTCAAACTAATTTTTGTTCTCTTCGAAATAGTAATACCACAGAAACGTCAGCAGTCCGACTCATCGATGACAACAATCACGGTTTTCTAACTAGGTATTTCGTGATTGACCAAATCCAAAGATGGACATTTATTTTACCTTGTCTATCAATATTCATTTTGTCCATCTTTGAAATAACTTTGTTGTCCATGATTCAGATCTTCCAACAATTCCGAGAGTCCATTGATCGTCAGTATTTGCAATCCGCATGGAACCGAGGAAATTAACGGGGTACAACGAGAGTCATGCACACTTGTTGTGAACGAGGTGTTTGGAGGTTAAAGTTGTCCACCATTAAAAAAATGTTGTCTACGAGAATATTTCAGTTTTAACATGTTCACGGGTAGAGAGGACATGTTAACGAGGTGTTTTAAAGCTAAAATTGTCCATTAATTAATAAAATATAGTCTACGAACAATATTGAGTTTTAACTTGTCCACAATTCAACTATCACATCCAATGATTCTATAAGTTCAATTACCATATTTAATGATGGACTATACATGTGTATACTTAACGCCAGGTTTGTTCTTGTTAATCTTGTCCACAACCTCTTCCAGCATTTAACTTGTCCATTGAGTTTGAGTATTTTAACTTTGAGTGACGGTGACAATCAGATAATTAAAAGAGAAAATGGCAGTTCTCGAGGAAGGAAATGATGACGTTTTACTGTTGAGAGTTAGATATTTTGACTTTTGCAGAAAATAAAGAAGGTTTTATTCACAGGGGCACTTTAGTCTTTTAACATAGGGTGTGTGGCACATTAGAAAAGGAACAAACGCTTGTGGCATAATTGGTAAGTTATGCTACAGTAAATGGCACAGACTAAATTCCCATAAATGTATTTGTACCCTTTTGTTTCCTTGGTATCTTTGAAAGCTTAAAAACGTAACATTAGCCGAAAAAAGCAAACCCAGTAACCAACGAAATCCATTTACACAATCCGTCCGTACGTCACGCGATTTGGGCCCGGCCCATCGTTTCCCGCCACACTCTTCCCGCCAAAACTCATCGTCGACTAAAAACCCTTCTTCCCACTCTCGCTTTGCCTTAGAACTTTTGATATAGAGGGAGAGAGAGATTCGTAACGGAGACGAAGCGAAGATGTCAGGTTGGGACGAAGGAGCAGTTTACTACAGCGACCAGCCGCAGTTCCCGGAGGCCGGAGACGCCACCACCATCAGCCCCCATGCCGTCTTAACCAAATTTAAGGAATTCATTCGAAATTTCGAGATCGAGCAGAATTGTTTCCCCTACAGAGAAGCTCTCCTCGATAACCCTAAGAGACTTCTTGTCCACCTCGAAGATCTCCTCGCCTTTGATTCCGATCTCCCTTCTTTAATCCGATCTTCTCCTGCCGATTATCTCCCTGTGGTACGACTGCAATTAAAAGAAATTAGGGTTCATATAGATATGATGCAAGTATATGTGTTTTAGCGTTACTGAAAATTGCAGTGTTTATTTGTCTTATTGTTGAGAAAAGTTGGAATGAATCAATCTTTGTATGCAGTTTGAGAAAGCAGCTGGTGAAGTGTTGACTGGATTGAAAATGAGGGAGGCTAATGAGGGAGGGGAAATGGAGGAACCTCTGCCTAGAGATGTTCAGATTTTGCTGACTTCAAGAGAGGATCCAGTATCTATGCGATTACTTGGGGTATGTCTTTCTTTTAGTATCTGATTATAAGTTTTCTTGTTTCCTTGGAGATTTATGTCTCTTTACTTTTGACAGGCCCAGTACATCTCAAAGTTGGTGAAAATCTCTGGGATTAGTATTGCAGCTTCGAGAGTGAAAGCAAAGGCGACTTATGTGTTTTTGGTATGTAAGAATTGTAAAAAGACAAGGGAAGTTCCATGTCGTCCGGGTCTTGGTGGGGCAATTGTTCCTCGATCATGTGATAATATTCCACAGGTTCTTGCATGATTTCTTTTATTCGTTTGTGATTTAAGTTTGTAGTTATCCTGGGTCTTGATTAGACGAATTGAAATTTGTTTAGCCTGGAGAGGAACCTTGCCCTCTTGATCCATGGATGGTGGTTCCTGATAGGAGCCAGTATGTTGATCAACAGACGTTAAAGCTACAGGAGAACCCGGAGGTATAGATCTGTTTATTTACATGGTAATATTTTCGGTTTGTGCACTTCTATATGAAATGCTTCTGAATTTTGAAGGATGTTCCTACTGGAGAGCTTCCAAGAAATATGCTTCTCTCAGTTGATCGGCATCTTGTACAAACAATTGTACCTGGAACCAGACTGACAGTAATGGGTATCTACAGCATTTTCCAAGCTTCATCATCATCTAACTCGTAAGCTTTTATGTCAAATGAGAGTGTAGATTGTTTTCTGGTAAAGTTACACCAACAATGATGAACATCTTTTCCTACTTTCTGATGTAGGCATAAAGGAGCAGTTGCAATTCGGCAGCCTTATATCCGAGTTGTTGGATTGGAAGACACAAATGAGGCCAGTTCCCGTGGCCCTGCCAACTTCACTCCTGACGAAGTTAGTATCGCATCATTTGGATCTTTTCTTTTTCCATTTGATAGCCTATGCCATCCATGGTTTCACAATGGACTATTAAAGTCAACATGGCTGAACTACTGTTACTGGAAACCAAATGCCTTACGTAGCTGTTGGCTTTATGAAATCTTTATGAAATTTGATTCTTTATGTAACTCCCAAATGAATGTGATGGTGTTTTCAGGAAAAATACTCTGTGCTATTAGTTTACAAAGAACCATTTAGGCCTGCTTGGAACATCGCTTTATGCAGCCTTGTTGTACAATTCCATTTATCAGTTTTGCCTTTGATAATATTACTTTTAGGAGGAAGAATTCAAGAAGTTTGCTGATAGTCAAGATGTATACAAGAACATTTGCACCAAGATCGCTCCTTCTATATTTGGCCATGAGGATGTGAAGAGAGCAGCTGCGTGTCTTCTCTTTGGAGGATCCAGGAAGGTAGGAAACTGCGATTTCAGTTTTCATTTTCTGTGCACTTGGATACGTTTTTGATATATTTATATACATTTCTATCTTCAATTCAGAGCCTGCCGGATGGAGTGAAACTAAGAGGTGATATTAATGTTTTGCTCCTGGGAGACCCATCAACTGCAAAATCACAGGTTTGTAATGTGGTCTTAGTATCAATGGTTTAAAATAAGTGTGGTATTCTTTTTATTTTATTTTTACGTCTCTCTTATTAGCTCGATATTTGTCTTACATCCTTCTGTTCAAGTGTTAGATTACAATCCTTACAAAAAGTCTGTGTTATTTCCAACTTATGTAGCTTACATGTTGAAAGCTAAATAGCATTTTTTCTCTCTCTAGTTTCTTAAGTTTGTGGAGAAGACGGCTCCAATTGCTGTTTATACATCTGGAAAGGGTTCATCCGCTGCTGGGCTCACGGCTTCGGTGATTCGAGATAGCAGCACTGTATGTCCTATCTTCACGCGTTTTTTCTATGATATGTTTATGACATATTCTCAGTTATTTACACAATATGTTCATTGCAGCGAGAGTTCTATCTTGAAGGTGGTGCTATGGTTTTGGCTGATGGAGGTGTTGTGTGTATTGATGAATTTGACAAGATGAGACCGGAAGATAGGTAATTCAAATCTGAATCATAGTGTAGACGAATCTAATTTTTCGTGATGAGTAGAATTGACGGAATGTTTTTTTTCTAGAGTTGCTATTCATGAGGCAATGGAGCAGCAGACAATCTCCATTGCAAAAGCTGGAATAACAACTGTCCTTAATTCTAGAACGTCGGTGCTTGCTGCTGCTAACCCGCCATCTGGTCGATATGATGACCTTAAGGTTTGAAATTTGGTACTCTCCTTTGTCAATATCATGGTTTTCCTGATTCTTGTTTGCAATATTCTTAAGGGATGTGTGTTTTTTTTGGATTTGCAGACTGCACAGGACAATATTGATTTGCAGACAACAATTCTCTCTAGATTTGATCTTATCTTCATTGTCAAGGACATCAGGAAGTATTCCCAAGACAAGGTAAGGAAGCAAAGAAACAATTCTTTCAAAAAAATTATGTAGTAAAAAGGAAAAACAGATATTAATGATGGAGATCACTGTGATTGGAAAGTTTGCTTCGTTTCTTGCTTATGTAGACATGATTAATGTTTATAATCTTTTCACAGGAAATAGCCAGCCATATTATAAGGGTTCATGCATCTGCGAACAAATTTTCGGATGAAAACACAGATTCTAAAGAAGATAATTGGCTCAAAAGGTGTGATCTCATTCTTCAAGAAAACAATGTGTTCAATTTTCTATACAAAATCGTGACTCTAAAATATAATGCTCTTTTTACATTAGGTATATACAATACTGTCGAGCAAGGTGTCATCCCCGTCTCTCAAAAGACGCTGCTGAGAACCTGCAGCGAAAATATGTAACAATCAGAATGGTAATTTTCATTACATTAGAACATTTGACAATAAGATGGTAAAAGATAAAGTTTGGTCTTAGTATAAATTTTTCGTTTAACAGGATATGAAGAGACGTGCACATGAAACAGGAGAGGCTGCTCCGATACCTATTACAGTGAGACAACTCGAAGCTATTGTTAGACTGAGCGAGTCACTTGCAAAAATGAGACTGTAAGTAATCTCACTAAGATAGAGATTCCTGAAACCTGATGGAATGTGCCGTGCATTGACATTGTTAAATATGTCAGGTCACACGAGGCCACGCCAGATGATGTAGACAAAGCTTTTAAACTTTTTGATACCTCAACCATGGATGCAGCAAGATCTGGGATAAATCAACAGATAAACATAACAGGCGAGATGGCCAACGAAATCAAGGTTAGTTCTTGTAGGAAGAAAGAATCATCATATCTCTAGATTTTGGTTGGAGATGTAATAACTAAACTGTATTGGTGTGAAAAACAGCAAGCGGAAACACAGATAAAGAGAAGAATGGGGATCGGAGCTCGGTTATCAGAGAGAAGACTGATAGAGGATCTAGCTAGAATGGGAATGAACGATTCAATGGTACCTGAGCTAACATCTTTGCTGTTTAATTTTCAGTAATGTGAATGGGATTTTTGAGTTTGTGTGAATGTTAAAATGGCAGGTGAGGAGGGCTTTGTTGATAATGCACCAGAGAGGTGAAGTTGAATACCAGCGAGAGAGACGTTCTATTGTCCGCAAAGCTTGATCGTCTAGGCATGCAGTCTCTCTTCTTTAGTCTCAGCATCTTCAACGATAACAAAACGATATTTAGTATTATTAAGTTAATTTGTAGGCAAAATACCAAAAAAAAAAAGAGAAGAGAAGCTTATGTCATGTGTATTTTTTGATGAAGATTCTTGGTAAAACTTTTATGCTTGCTTCAAACTAATGTATTCTCCACCATTGTTGTCCTTTGTTAAAATGTCCACCAATGTTAGGAAAGCGTTAGAAGATTGCTGAATGGTATAATCTCGAGCAGATAGAATATTTGTTAAAGTAAAAATGCAGATAGAATAGTTGATAAAGTAAAAATGTGAAATTTTTTATTTATGTAATCTGAACGTATATGAAAATCAAAATTCTCTTAATTAAAGATTTTTGTTGTTATTAGAACTTAGAATGTTGTTGAACTTAGGATGTAGTTCAACTTGGCTCAGAATGTTCTTCTTTTCAACTGGTTCGATTTACAAAACTGAATTTTGTTTGATTTTCGATAGGGACAATTATTAAAATACACCAAAAATTATAGTAAAATTAAAAAAATATACCAAATTTTTTAGAATTAAAAAACTAGGTTTTTTCTCAATGAAAAGTCAAAGAAACTCCTTGTTAAATTTGAAGAAGTGTTTTCTTTTTTTAAAAAAATTCAACCACAATAATAAAAACTGGGAGTTTATTTTTTTTTAACTCTCTATCATCGTTAAAACGGAAATAAAAAAATAACAAAGAAAGTAAAATCCCTCGATCATCGTCATAAACTGTTTTTGGTATCTCTCTCTCACATTTTACTCTCTCTAGCAATCTTCATAATCCCCCTTAAATCTCAGTTCCTTTCATGAACCCTAACTTTCGCCATTCACTTTCCCATCCCAAAAATTGTAAATGGTATATGCACTTAAATATGAGAGATGGCTCAGCATCTACCATTTAACACATCTCTCGTGTTCTTCATTGGCCTCTTAACAAACCCTACACATCATTTGCATTTTTAAGGTTCTGTTTTATTAATACTATGATCTTACTTTAATGTTCTCACTATAACGTAGTCCACTACTCCATTCCTTATAAGTAATACAAATAAAAAGCAAAACAAAAATCCAAGAATTTTTTTTAGAAGCCGTAAATTCTCTGGCCTTCTTCTACTTGACAATATATTATCTCTCTGAATTCAACGATATCACACATTATATCTCCTTTAAATACCTAACAACACTAGTTTTGCTTATAGTTTTATAATATAAAGCGTAGAGCATTTTCCACTGGAAATTTTGCGACTTAACTAACATGTTTTTCAATTGACGTTTACAAATTAGTTTTGCAATTGTGTGTACCATGTTTCTGTGGAAAAAAAGAGTTTACAAATTAGTTTGACACTCTACATAATAACTTCATGAAACTGACTTTACATAATAACTTTATCTAAAAACTTTAGCAAACAACTTTACTTAAAATCTATAATAATTGTGTGAAACTAAATTACTAGAAAAAATTTGCAAATTAACTTTACCTTAAAACTTTATCAAAGAACTATACTTAAGATATATATAATAACTGTGTGAAACTAAATTACGAGAAAAATTTGTGAATTAACTTTACCTCTTTATTAAACAACTATACTTAAGATATATGTAATAACTTTTTTTTTGTCGAAAAGATATATATAATAACTATGTGAAACTAAATTTATACGAAAACTTGATATTTAACAGTATTGAAATACTTTATTAAACAAATATACTTAAGATCTAAATAATAACTGGGTAATGAGACAAACAACTCTACGTAATGAGAAACTATCAAACAACTCTACCAAACAACTCTCAACAACTCAAATATACATGAAACTAATGAGAAATTACTAAGAATTTGAGAAAAAAATGAATGAGAAAACTAAGAATTTTCTCATTCCTACGAGACAACTTTTCTCATAAACTTTACCCAATAATTCTATCAAACTAGATCTACGTAACAGTTTGCAAAAACAGTTTTTCAAAAAACTTTACCAAGCAAATATATATTAAACTCTAACATAATAATTGTGCAAAACTATCTATATTATACTCTACTAAATAACTTTTTCAAAGAACTTTAGCAAAGACCGCATCTTTAAATAACTTTGCAAGAGATTTATGTACATAAACGTTCTAAAGTATATGAAACTTTGCCAAATACTTACTTCTCTGTAGAGTTGACAAATCGTTTTTTTAATGGAGTTTGGTTTGATAAACACTTATATATATGTAACTAACAACATAGTTCACATAGGTTTAGGGAATTAATTTAGAGTTATATTATTAAAAATTATTCTAGATTAGCTTGGTTTGGCATATTTTTCAGATTTTATCTTCAAATTTTATCATAATCAATTAAAATATATATATATATATATATATATAAAATTCAAAAAAAAAATGGGAAAAATGTCGGAAAATGCGCGAACTTTCAAATTTGGGACAAAAAAATCATGAAATTTCAAAATGTCATTTAAATCATAAAGTTTAGTTTGACTTTTTATAAAATGGTTAAGTTTTCGTTGACTTGGCAATTTCGGGCATGTCGTTAAATTTCCGTTAACGAGACGTTGACGGGGTTAACTTTCCGTTAGAAATCTCCGTTGAATCGAAACGACGTCGGTTTCAAAACAACAAAACGACGTCATTTCACTGGAAAATAAAATGAATCAACTGCGTCTGTGAAGAATCGCACTTTCCGTCGTTTCGATTCAACGGAGATTTCTAACGGAAAGTTAACCCCGTCATCGTCTCGTTAACGGAAATTTAACGACATGTCTGAAATGGCCAGGTCAACGAAAACTTAACCATTTAATCAAAAGTCAAACTAAACTTTATGATTTAAATGACATTTTGAAAGTTCATGCTTTTTTTGTCCCAAATTTGAAAGTTCGCGCATTTTCCGACATTTTTCCCAAAAAAAAATCTGTAACTAACGTGGGTTATATAGAATTATAAATGTGGCTTTAATTTGTTTTTATGTTAAATCCTATAATTAGATAAATATAAGGATACTTTTGTCTTTTGTTAGTCTACATCTTAAATTCTAAAAGATATGGCCTAGATTAATAATTTTAGTTTGTTTTTAGATTTTTTTCATAATTTTCCCTTTTCGATATGATAGAGTCGGCGGCTCAAAGTAGGTCTTTAAATAAAAACCTAACCGGTCAAACCGAGTTGAGATATGAAAGTTTTCAGTTCAGAATCGGTTAATAGGAATGAACCAATAGGCAATTTTTTTGAAATGGGTTCGGTTCATTGAACAGATAGGTTATCCTTTTTCTAATTTTCTAACCAACATACCGAATTTTACAAAGCTATACCAAAATATCTTTGCAAACGCTCTCCGAATCGGACCGAGTGTGCGAATTTTAGTGCTAACCAAAATAAATTAACTGATAATCGAATCGGTCCAAACAGAATTTTTGTTTACTCGTATTCGGTAACTGAATTATCCGAAAAACCGACTATCCGCCGAACACTAATAGGCAAAGGCATTTAGTAAGGTTTGTTTAATTGCTGAAACAAGTTTTTGAAATTGGCCATTAGTAATAGTACCACCTAATTCGTGGAATCCAAAGGCATTGTCGTGTAGACATGACCACTGCTATTCTTCAGCCTTTCTCTCTGTCGCTCTTGCCTCGCTTCTCTGAGTTTCCCCGTTGTTTCGCCTCTTCTTCTTCTTCATCTTCGGCGTCTCTCTCTATTCCCAACCGTCCTCCTCTTAGGTTAGCTCTCTTCTTTTTTTTCTCTCTATCTTTTTCACTGTCATTTTTAAGGTTTCTTCTTGTTCGTTCCTCCAGGTACGCCGTCCTTGGTGCGGGTTTTGCTGGAATCTCTGTTGCCTGGCACCTGCTTAAGGTTACTCTCTGAAGCTCCCGGAATCTCTCAATTTCATTTTGTTTTTGTCGTGTTGAGAGAAATCTGCTTCTTGGTTTACCATTTTGGCGAATCACTAAGAAAATATGTGTTGTTTTTGCAGGACAGTCCAAAAGAGCTGAGATTAAGTGTTGACGTATATGATGAAGTTGGCATAGGAGGTGGGCCTTCTGGTGTCTCTGGAGGACTCCTCCACCCTTATTCTCCTAAAGGTAGAAGAAATTGTCCCCTTTGGTGATTAAGCTGGAAGAGTTTATTTTAAAGTTTAGTTTCATAAAGATTCTTTCTTTATGCAGGGAAGCTACTTTGGCATGGTGCTGAGTGTTGGAGGGAATGTTTAGAGCTCTTAAATGTGGCCGAAACAGCTGCTTCTTCTAGTTACCCAGCTACGGAGAACGGAGACTCTAGCGAGAGTTTCGGAAATTTTATGGTTCGAAGAAGGTACACTCTCAATAACACTAAGTTGAAATGTTCATTCAATAAAACTTTAGTTTGACGAAGTTCTTCTTGATTCAGGGGAATCTTGAGACCAGCAACAAATGCCAAGACTTTAGATTTAATGAGTGATGTAAGTTTGAACATGACTTAGATACCATAGATATATTACCTAAACCCGTAGTTTTACTGATTATTACTTATGCGATTAGAATGCTCGAAACTGTCTTGCTAGTTGTGTAGTAGAGACTATTGACAAAGATGGTGCACGAAATCTTGTCCCCAATCTATACCTGCCTTTGAACTGCGCCTTCTATTTTCCAGGAGCTATGAATGTTAATCCACAGCGATATCTCCAGGTTAAGAGACATAAGACAACACAAATATATTAGCACCAAGCTTTTGCGTTTTTCTTTACCCAGTTTTTCTCCCTTCTGTAGGCACTCTTTCTAGCATGCCAGAACTCAGCAAGAGCATCACTTGGAAGGAAAAACATAACTTTGGTGAAGAAATCTATAAGTGATGTGCTTGAACTTGAAGGTGAATGATTTTTCTCAGGTTTCTCTTCCTTTGCTCTTACTATTTTGAACAATATTCTTATCTTTTGGTTTAACCTTGGAACTTGCATAAGCTTTATAGAAACATCCTCGAAACACAAGTAGTACTTTTGGATCAAGTTTCACAGGCATGAAATCAGTTTCTTGGACCGTAAACAGATGGTAGTAAACTTATTTCTAGGTAATTTTGATCTCAGTGAAAGCATTATGTGGGTCCATGAACACAATTTAGATAGCCGTTAACAATCCAAGAGTAGAGTATCCATTGTTTTTCTCTTAGGTACTCATCCGCATGGTCAAAAATTTAGTATGAACAGCTTGTGTCGTTATATGTAGGAGAATATGATGCAGTAGTAATATGTCTTGGATCCAAGGTAGACTTTCTTCCAAGGCTTACTGGGAAGCTCCCTTTAAGGACATGCCGAGGTGTCATTACTCATATGCAGTTACACGAGAGTGCCAGGTAATATTTCTCTGTGCTGAAGGATTTTGAGACCTTGCGCCTGTAGTTATCCATTCGTAGTATGTTCTTTCAAATCTGAATTATATTTTCTTTCCTTAATGTCAACTTTACATCCTCATTCAGTTGTACAATTCCGGTTGGTTAGATTTGCTAGAGCTCAAAGCTTTTGTTTAGTAGTGTTGATGTAGTCGCATACTCGCATATTACTATGTTGAACTCAGCTACTTTATCTTAGTGGTTTATTTACTGGTGAAGTATTTTGTCCGGTTCAAAAGATTTTCTTTATTGAATTCTGTAATGCAGAGGAAGTTACCCGGACGGTGGACCTTCGATCTTGTCAGATGCGTGGCTCGCGGTTCAGGGACCTCGTAATCTACACATGGGATCCACATGGGAATGGCAATCAAGAAATTATTCATCGGACGTCCCAGCAGAGGAAGCTTCAAGAGCTCTCGACGAGCTTCTTCCGAAAGCAAGTGCAGTTTATCCAGACATAGAGAAGTGGGAATTTGTGGGAGCAAGGGCAGGTTTGAGAGCAATGCCACCTCTCACAAGCCATGGGTCACTGCCGCTCTTGGGATGTGTAAATCAGCTCATAGGTGCAGCAGATGAGTCTTGCAAATTCTGGGTATTTTCAGGGCTCGGATCAAGGGGACTACTCTATCATGCTTGGCTTGGGAAGCTCATGGCTAAAGCTGTTTTCAGTTGCAAGGAAGAATTAATTCCTTCTGAACTAACTTCTTGGAAGAAAAACAGACTATAAGAGTACTATTGTTTACTTCTCAGTCACCATTGAATTACACATATGAATTTGTATAAGAAGAATCTTTTTGTGTCATGTTTTGGATTAAAGAAGTCCAGGAAGAGTCATTTATTATGAAAGACTGAGCATAGAAATGACAGTCAAACAAGGCTACTACAGTTGAAACTAGTTCTGCTTAATTTTCTTCAAACTAGTTGTTAGATCAAAAGTTACAACTAATCAGATTCTAACAACATTTCATTTTGAAGCTCTGACAAAGCTTGAGAAAGTTGAGGAGTCATCTTGCAAAAGATGTTGTGGTTTTCCTTGTTCAACAAGAATTCCGCGATCAAGAATAAGGATGCTGTCCAAATCAAGAACTGTTGAAATGCGGTGAGCAATGGTAATGACTGTTACGCCTTTGCATTCCGTCGATATTGTGTTGTGCAGTAGTGAAGCTGTGTGAACATCGATGTTGGCGGTGCATTCATCAAGGCATAGGATCTTAGATGACTTGAGCAAAGCACGGGCAAGGCACAGAAGCTGTCTCTGCCCAACAGAAAAGGAACATCCAGATCCCTTTACATTTGAATCTAACCCTCCTGCACTTTCTACCTCTGCCTTAACTTTACATTTCTCTAGGATCTCCCAGATTCTCCAATCCTCACTTAACCCAAGAGGATCAAGGTTATCCCTATGAGAACCACAACTTTTATCATGGAAACTGCAATCAAGACCCTGATTACTAAATGCAATTTGTGTAAAGTCCTTACCTCAATGATCCTTGAAACAGAAAAGGGCTCTGAGGAACAACAGCAAGGTGAGAACGAAGCTTTCTAATTGGAAGATGGTTTATGTTAATTCCATCCACCAATATCTCTCCATTACAAACAGGAGTAAGCCGGAAAAGGGCATTCAAGATCGAAGATTTCCCGGCACCAGTTCTTCCAATTACTCCTACCTGATAAACGAAAATAAAACAAAGTTTTTCTTTCATGAGACAGAAAAACTCAGTCTGTTATAGAGTGCTCGGCTATAAACGTACATGCATTCCTCCTTGGATTGTAAAAGAAATGTGGTTGAGTGCCGGAGGCAGAGTTGAGATGTATCTCATTGTCACATTGTGAAACTCAACTAATCCTTGAACCGGCCACTTACCGCTGAGAGATTGACGACCGGAAACTTCTTCTTGAGGCACATCCATGTACTATTCAAACAGGAGAGTAATTGGTGACATTAACTTAAGAAAATTACTTAATTAATCAAGATCATTACCTGGAGAACCCTTTCAACAGAAACCATTTCCTTTTCTGTTTCAGTAAAACTTGTTAAGAAGCTTCCTAACAGAGAAACCAGTGGAGCTGCATATGAGAGAGCTAATCCCACCTGTAATTCAAATTATAAAATTTTCTGCTTTCAATTTCCTTTAAATTTATGGAAACTGCAGTTTCTTACCAGTCCAGGCGTACCAAAACTGATTGGAAAGTTCCCCCGGGAGCCGAAAACAGCCATTACCGCAACAAATAAGACAATCATTGCTCCTAACAACTGAACCAATTTACTCAAATGATCAGCGCCTTTTCGAAACTTCCATACTAATTTATTGCAGAACACACAAAACTAAATCTTGTTGCAAATCGTCAAAAGCTGAATAAAAATGGTCTTGAGCTACAAAGGAAAGCTGTGTTAATGTACCTGAAGACGCAAGGAGAGCCACAAGCTTGCAATTATCTCTGAGTAAGAAGTCCGCTGGTATAACGTCAAATGCTCAATAAACCTAGCTACGAAATGCTCCTGTCATGCAGAATCAAACCGGAATTAGCATACAGGGTTGTCATTAGTGGAGAAGCAAAACCACTGGAAATGTCACAATCATAAGAACAACTCATTTAGAAGCAGAACCAAAACTACCTCAGACTTAAAAGCCCTGATGGTTGATGACCCATCAAGTGTCTCTGTGAACGATGCATAGATCGGTGATCTTGAAACACTGTCCAACCTTCGTAGTTCCCTTGACGTTGACCTGTAGAAGAACTAAAACAATTTTCAGTTAGTATAAACTTTGAACTCCTATTCTTCTCTAAGGGAACACCAAATATGAAATCAAAGTAGCTATTTGTAATATTTACAAGAGGTAAAAGTACCTGAAGCTTGCTGTATATGTACCAAAATGGCAGAAGCAGAAGCAGAAATAGAACCTGTATACATATTATACATTAATGTAACTCCTCCAACAAAGCAGAAGAATAATACTTAAAAACAAGAGAGAAGTGTTTGAGACAAACCTGAACATAAGACAATACTACAATAATCCCTAACAAGCCAACAAAATTTGCTAGAAGAATGTTGAGAATAAACGGGAGAGAGTCATCGATGGTATATAGATCAGAGGAAAACCTGAACAGAGGAAAACCAAAAACGAAGTTAAGATCAAGAACAAGACACATGATTCAAAGAGTTTTCTTGTCTCTAACCTGTTAAGTATTCTTCCACTTGGTGTCTGATCAAAGAACTGTGTAGGTGCATTTATAAGCTTACTGATTAATGCACTATGAACATGCACTGCTGCTTTTAATCCTCCATATGCAAACGAGAATGCCCTCACCAAGGTTAGAATTGAGTTAATGATGCAAAAGATACAGAGAACCATCTGCAAGATAAGTAGTTTTATTAAACTCGAGAACACAGAGAAATAAGAGTTACATTTCATGGTTTTCTGCGAGAGTTTAATACCAAATAAAACGAGGTTGAGTAATGTGATACTCCTCTTCCTGTCTTGTCAACCCAATATGATAGCCACAAATCATTTCCATTACGGGAAGCTTGCATTAAACCCGCTGAAACCAATATTACAATAGCAATGAACCAACCAGAAAATGCAGCATAGTTCCTGCAAAAACGGATAACAGTCACTTACTTATACATAAGCAAGAAAAAAAAAATGGTTAAGCAAATTTTTTTACCTATAAACCATTACTTCAACTCGGCCCTCTTTTCGTTCCTCCAATTTGACGATATCCGCAGCTTCACTAATTTCATCTACATCGTCTTTCTTGATAGATAGAGGTTCTTTTCTTTTGGTCAAGTGATTTGGTGATGACATATCAAAGTCATTGGATAAAGAAAATGTTGGGGAAATGGATTTAGGCATATCAGTAACAGTTCCTGACCATTTCACTTTTCCTTTGTCCATCACAACAATCATATCTACACAGGATATCGCCTGTCATAGTAGAAAGAGCTCGACGGTATGAGAAAACAAATTGAGATAGGTGTCATCAAAATAAGTACATCCACAAGAGGGTTATCAAATATTGATCACTATGGAATACTTGATCCCAAAAACACTGGATCTTGATAAATTTTCATTGTAAAGAGAGACTTGAAACCTGAATGTTGTGAGTACACATAATGCGAGTCTTTTTGTTCAACAGAGGACCCAGAAGTGCTCTTTGCAATATCCAACAGCCTACTTGTGAATCCACTGCACTTAGTACATCATCAAGAAGGTACATGTCTGAACCATGATAAACAGCCCTAGTGATAAAGAACACACAAAATCATCAGAAACACATCACTCAGTCTGTGGAAGGTGAAAGAGCATAAGAGAGATAGCAAACCTGGCCAAAGCAAGCCGAGCTCTTTGTCCTCCGGATAAGTTTACTCCTTTATCGCCTATACACGCCATGTCTCCTCCGGCCATAAGTGAAATATCCACATCTAGTGCACAAGCACTCAATGTGTCGAAATACCTAGTTTAACAAAGTTACAACTAGCTTTGTCTAGAAGTACATTCGATCAATGTAGAACATAACTTTATGAGTTTAAGAACAGAAATTTGTTGATGAAGCAAATTTACTAGACCTTTTGGAGTCAAAAGGCTTCCCGAATAAGATATTTTCGCGTACAGTTCCAGATAAAATCCATGGGACCTTGCAGAAGAGTGAGGTAAATGTAAGACTTCCTAAAATTGAAACCAACAAGAAAAAGAAACAGAGAAAGTTTTTGATAAGTTTAAAAACCTGTGGTACATATGCCACAGACCCATTTAATAGTATAGATCCATGAACACACCGCATTTCTCCTAATAGTGAATTCAACAAAGATGTTTTACCTGAACCAACCTGAAAACAAAAGAAACATGAAAAGTTCAAGAAATGGAAAGACATCTATAAGAAACACCTAATCATAATTTAATCTAACTATGCTCCAAAGATGGGGACGAATTCTATACCTCACCGATAACTGCAACAAAGGATCCCTTTGGCACTCTTAGGCTTACATGTTTTATTGTCAAGTTATAATCCTCTTCTACATTACTTGACCAAGTACAAGATGCATCTTCCACAAACACAGCTAAGTCTTCAGAGGTTAAACCAGAATCTATAGAAAAATCTCTACTATGCTCCAAACAACACAAGAACTTGCTCACACGCCTGGTGGATATAAAGGCCTGTAACAAGGTAACAAAAATGATACATAACTGAAATGATTGATAAAAATGCTACTTAACATGATTGAAAGATAAGCTTACATCAATGAGACCATTGATGACCCATGGAAACGAGTTTAATGGAGAGATTAAGCTATTAAATAAAGCAAGACAAGTAAACACCTGGAAAAAAAAAAAAAAAACAATTCAAGTGTCATGATGATTGTCAAGAAAAGTTTACATAATTGAATCAAAAAATGTTATAGAAAAGATTCAAAAAGTACCGTTGCTGCATCAAGTTGATGACCCATCAGAGCAAAGAGACCAAAAGTGCAAAGAGAAAAAAGAGTTGGTGTTGTTGCCCAAAAGAAAACACACCAAGCATCTAAATACTTCCGGGTCTAGAAAAGCCAAACGAAGACTTAACCGTTAATACAAAGCACTTGGAGATAGAGAAAATTTCTGATAAGGCAGTTTAAACACCAAAGGAAGGGATACAAAAACCAAACCGCTAAGTGAGTCACTTCGGTGGCCCTTGTTTCCTTCAACCAATCAGCAAACCAGTTATCCCATCCATACATTTTGAGTGTGCGTATGTTTGTTAAAAGCTCTCCTGTTTTTCTAATCCTGATAGATAACAAAACCTTTTACAATTGACTACTCAAATCTCTCATAGGATCACCACTTAAGAA